ATAAAGTAGAAAGGTAGACCACTTCCTTCCAGAGAGAAGATGACGTTTATTTGATGTGCTGACGAGTGATTTTCCTCCGTATCTAGCTCATTTTATTAAGCGTAATACACTTTTAATTGCAGGATACGATGCAAAATTCTAGCAGTTTCACGGTGCCTACTGGGAAGGGACAACTCAACACCGCCGACTCAACACCTCCTACTCAACACCGCCGATTCAAAACCGCCAGCTCAACACCGCCGACTCAACACCGCCAGCTCAATACCGCCGACTCAACATCGCCGACTGAGCGCCGGGACGACACAGCATAACTATTTTTTTATTACTGAATAAAAGTAATATATTAACTATTAAAATCTTAATTAGTAACCTTTTTAAAATTATTTTAAATAAAGTAAATGGTAATGTAATTTAATTTTTAATAAAATAGAAATATTCACTCATGCAGGTTTTAATCTTTAATAAATTCCTTTTATTCGATTATAAAAAAATTATATTTTTCTGGTACTGAGTTGTTTCAGCGCTGAGTCGACGGTGTTCACACGGCGATGGTGTGTTGGTGGTGTTCTGTGCAACCCTGTCGAAAATAGTTGCTAAAATCTTATGTGCGTAGGCGTGCACATAAGATTTTAGCAACTCATTTTATTCAAATGAAACACAATTTAGGGAATTTTTTCCGTTTACTGTTTGTCTTCTGTGATTTAATTACTCAGAATGGCACACCAACAATCTAACGGGTCATGAGAAGCATTTACCTCCTTCAGTTGTTTGAAATAGTTTCAATTGATACAATGAAATTTACTGCAGTTTCTCTGAGATTTTGGGATCATTTTACACGAAAACCTTAAGATATTTATCATTGATTGATGATTTAGTCTAACGTCTCTACTAGCGTTTTATTTTATTTTATTTTATTGTTAGCTGGAATTTCGACTTGTAAGTTTTTGAAACGAAATACTTCTAAGAGGGAGTGCTGAAAAGTTTTCGACCCAACAAAGAAAAGGAATAATTGAGAAGCCATAAAAAAGAATAAGTAAAATCTGTTTCTGTACACTCGACTCGCAGTTGAACACTTTTGGTACATCGTTTTTTGTTGTTTTGTTTGTTATTTTTTTTGTTTTTTGGGGGTTTTTTTTTAAGATTCTTTAACCTTTCCAAACAATTAAAAAAAAAACAAGTCGAAAACATTCACGATGGAAGAATTGTTCTACTGAAGCTATCGCGTCCAAATCATTAAAAATGTCTTCCCTTTCAAAACTCCATGAAATCTAGATGACCAAAGTGTAGTAGCGGATCTATCCTCTGAGCTCGCTCCCACAGTTCGATGGGAGAGTAATTGGTTTCTAACATTGTGTATACCTCCAGAAAGAGACGTGTAACCTCCCACCATCCCCGAGCATGACCTAAATTCTCTCTAGCTACAATCAATGGTTGTACTTTAACTGAAGCTCCTCCCCTTTGGACGTCTATCAGCACTCAAGTTGAATCCAGACCTCAAGTGGAACTCGGGTACGCGATCCATTACTAAATATACTGGAAAAAAGGTCGGTTCCTTCTAGCGCTCCAGTAAGTATCCGACACCACCTTCCACGCTCTAGTGATTTTCTAAGACTGGCTTAGATGTGACACAAGGCCGAAAGTATGGAACCCCCAGCGAGGATCGAACTCACGACTCAGTCGTAATTGATCTCGTAAGACAAGCTTTCTAACCATTACGCCGCGTCGAGGTTCCCCCTGCCATGCTATATCTTTACAAGAGCTAGATCAAATGAAAAATGAAATATTCCTGCTATATCATTGCTAAAAACTTATAATAGGATCTTTCTTCAATGGTCCGAGATCATGGATCGCCACAACTTCTTCTATTGTGTGACTCTTAGCAGTTTTTATCCCTTTGCACCAAAAACCGTCCCGCCATCCACTAACGCAAGCTGGTCAGGTTCACTGCCTTCCTTTATCTCTCAATATGTTCAATAATCTTTCTTTTTCGGTATGATGATAAACTACATCCGGCAGCAGGGCTTCTTACCGGTTGGTTTTAAGAAGCGTGGAACTACTTCTTAATTCCTGTTGTTCCCAGGTCCAATCTGACCCTGTGAGGTAAAATTGTGAACTTGTGCTGGTAAAATTGTGAACTGTGCTGGTAAAATTGTGAACTTGTAAAATGGGGTCAAAACATGAACATACAAAAATACACCAGAATTAATTACCAGTAATACATTTTCTTAGTAAAATAAATATTAGCACTACATTCTGTGGAAAAAAAGAATTTAGTCAGTCAATTACGTGCTATGCGTGATACACGCTTGGGCGATCATGTATCTTTCGGTACATGACTGACGAGGCAGATTTTTACCCGCAGTAGTTTTCCATTTCTTTCTGCAGTAGACCAGTTGCCATCCAAGGCTTCAGAACCATGTCTGTCTTGCTATTTACCCATAGCTGGGGGAGAAAAAGAGGATTCCTACATTTCGCAAGGTTATTAACAAGTCAGTGAATG